GTACACTTTAAGTGGGTGAGTGGCCTTATGTTTCTGCCGAGGGCTCCCTTTGCAGAGGAAGAGAGGCCTTGGTCTGGGGTAGGTGAGGAAAGCAGTCTAGGAATGGAATGGAACAGTTGAGCCTTCTTCACAGTATCTTCCTGCTTCAAATTGGTTGGATGTGCAAATAAAGAGACGGATGGATGGGGACTGGTCAAGACCAGTAACCTCTGGGCTTAGTTTGGTCAGCATCAGTGTGCCCTGGACTAGAATATTCTGGAAACAACTCTGCCTGGGCCCGGCCAACCTGGACAAGGCTACTGGCGCTGTGGAGAGCTTCCATGCTCCTGTCAGTTAGATGTAAATATGGCCCTAGAGTTCAGTTACCTGAGTGGGAACCTTGGCTTCACTTCTTTTGAGCAGCATGCCTTGGACGAGTTATACTAACCTCTCTGGTCCTCAGTTTCCCCATCTGTGTGCTAGGAATAATTATATACAATAATTCTATATCTACCTCATGAGGTTCTTTCAAAGATCCGACTAGATATTCCACAAAACATGCTTAGCCGAGTGCTTGGTACATTCAATACATATTCGTTCTTCTTTCTCCAAGGTGCTTTTTAGATAAATCTCAACTCTCCTGACACAGGCAGAAGAGTAATTATTGTGCACTTCATCACAGGCCCTGAGAACTCTGGGTTGAGCTTGTCTGCAGGGGTGTATCCTGTGGGTTATATGACTTTTGCAGAACAGCTGAGGGAAACCACCAAGCTACACTGGTGACTAATCTGGGACACTGGGCTGCCGCTCATCTCTCTGCCCGTATTCTCCGGCAGCCGATTGTTCTGAAACCATCTCCAACCACCAGCGTCTGTCTGTCCTTGCTATGATCCCTGTGTGGGACAAGCACTGGTGACGTGGCAGCTCTCAGTGCTGCAGGCTGTAAACCACAGCGTGTGACTTGTGTCTGAGGCCATTCAGAAAACGCAGGTGGAGGAGACGAGAGAAGGGCCTGTGGCCAAGGCCCATGTGGTGGCCCTCCAGGGAGCTACAGGAGCCTCTGTCCCTCCTGGAGATGCCCAGACTGGCTCCAGATAAGCCCTTGGGAAAGAGTGCCCCCTATACATGGGGCCAGAGCTACGGAAGTATCACAATTCTGAAATCCAAACGGCTCTGAAAGCCCAAGATTTGTTGAGACGCATTTGGCTGCCAAACCTGATGGCTTTGAGTACTCCTGTGTGTTGTTTTGTTTGTTTGTTTGTTCGTTTTGCAGAATATGAATGTATTTAATTGCAGAATCCTGCCCCAGGTCCTGGGTGTTAGGTAACATGGCTCATGAGCTATGGGTTCCCCATCTAGAAGGCCAAACAGTTTAATTTCTGAAAACGATCTGGTCCTCAGGTGTTGGGATAAGGGCATGTGGTCCCATATTATTATGAATCTATTTTACCCTCAGACTGTAGTCAGAGGAAACACACCTGCTATACACAGAATAAGAAAAGGACAGAGAGGAGAGAGCCTTGGGTTTGGGATGAGACAGCTGGGGCAGGGGTCCTGCTCCAGTTCTCACCAGCTGCAGGGCCCTGGGAATGTCTTTAACCGCTCTGAGCCTCGATTTCCTTGCTTATATAGCAGAAATAATAATCCCTACCTCCTGTGGTTATTAGGGGATTAAATGAGATAATGCATGCTTAGCACATACAGGCTTAGTAATTGATTACAGGCTTAATATTAATAGATAATGATATATGTATTACCTGGATGGACTCTTTTCCTCAGTGCCATGTGCACAGGCGTCCACAGACCAGCTAGGGAGCCAGGCCAGACAACTGCACCTGGACGCTGTGCTCAGTGTATGGGAGCGGGATCCCAGTTTTGGGAACCCTGTACAGGAAGGGGGTTGAGGCGCTGAGGACACTTAGTGCCCAGAACTTCTGGTCTTGGAGAGGAAATTATGTGGAGGATATTGGAATACGCTACTAAAAAACAGTAATAACAGTTGGGTGCTTGGGTGGCTCAGTCTGTTAAGAGTCTGACTCTTGGTTTTGGCTGAGGTCATGATCTCACGGTTGGTGAGTTCGAGCCCCACATTGGGCTTTGCACTGTCAGTGAGGACACTGACTCTGTGTCTTCTGTCTCTCCCTCTTTCTCTGCCCCTCCCCCACTGGTTCTCTCTCTCTCTCTCTCTCTCTCTCTCTCTCAATAAACAAACAAACAAACTTAAAAAAAACAATAATAATGGAACATGAAGTCTCATACCCACTCTTACAGGAGATGATCAGAAATCCTCTTTGGCAGAATCTGTGCCCCAGTGCTGCCTACCCCCCCCCCCCCCACCAGTGCTACATGATGCTGCTCACTTATCTGGGGAAGCAGAGGGGTCAACAAGATGTGATGACTATTTGTCTCAGGGTCTATGTCCCCTATAACATGTTGGCAGCCTTCAGCCCTGAGGACAAAGGCTAAACCAGTGGTCTCCTTCTGAGAGCCTCTTGACCGCGAAAATCTGACTTTTGGCCCTTTCATATGCATGCCACTATAAGGAAATCATTGAGAAACTTTTCTTTCTGTGCAAAGTAAAATAATTATAATTGGATGTCCACAAATAATTATGATTGTGTACGCACCATTCCTGCAGCCCAGAAGATAGCAGAATGGCTCAGCTGACCTTAGGCACTCCTCGCTAAAACCGCCGCATCTGCCCCAGGCAGGAGGGGCTCAGCCGCAGGTGCAGGACCGAATTTGTGGCACTCCATCGCTAAAAGGTTTGCACAACTCCGGGGACCGGGGCTACTTAGAGTATCAGAGAATCTCACCTTTGGCCAAGGGCTGTTTAAAGTGCAGATCACATCTGATATTGCTTGACGTTGTGACGGATGAAAGGCCGAGCAGAGCTCTTTGAGGAACCTTTGATGCTCTGAACTTTCCATATTATTGTGGTCAGAGGTACTCAAGGATGGTTTAGCTCAATGGGGTGGGGGGGACGATTCTAATTGTGACCGTACCTGGGAAAATACTCCCCACGGGAGATTCTTCCCCAATCCTCCCACCCGTCAGGTAGCGGGGGAGAGGGCGATTGTGATTGTCAGACCATCCCAATCCAAGACCTAACCCGGCCTCCCCCACAACGCATCACACACAGCTGGCAGGCGGCTCCCTCCCCAGGGGCCAGATCATGTGAACCCCAAGCTTGGAGGCTGCCTGGAGCTCTGTGGAGGGACCGCTCCTTTCTGAGCACCTGTAGCGTGTTTCTGGATACCATGTCTTCTCCAGGTGAGCACTTTCCTGACCTACAGACCATTTCATACTCTGCTTTGGCGTCTCAAAGGGCTTTCGTTCCCTCGCCAATATTTATCGAGTGCCAGCTCTGGTAGAGGGGTAGTGCGGGCTCGGGAGAGGCAACCGGGATTCAACAGTGGGCTGGCAAAGCTCTCCGCCCTCGGGGAGCTGCCCTTTGAGCAGGGAGAGACAACGAACGGGGTAAAGTCATAAGTGGGAGGGCATCTTAGAAGGTAGTGAGTATTGTGGAACAGAAGACAGGATCTGGGGTACGGGGGCAGGGGGCAGGTTGAGTATTAAGGTAAGATGGATAGTACATTAGGGTCCTTCAGAGAAATAGAACCAATAGGCTGAATAGATAGAGGGATAGATATACAGATAGATAAGAAGAATTTGGCTCGTGGGATTGAGGAGACTGAAGTGCCCCAAGAGCTGCTGTCTGCAATCTGGAGGCCCAGGAAAACAGCTGGGGTGGTGATACGCGTCCACAGGCCTGAGAGCCAGGAAGCTGCTGTGTTTTAAGTCCCAGTCCGAGTATAGAAGAATGTCCCAGCTCAAGCTGTCAGACAGAGAGCCAATTCTTCCCCTGCCTCTTCAGGGCCTCAGTGGGATTGAATGAGGCCCACCCACACTGGGCAGAGCATTTCAGTCTACCAATTCGGATGCTCGTCTCATCCAGAAACGCCCTCCAGACACACCCCAAAGCAATGTTTAGCCAAATATCTGGGCACGCTGCGGGCTGGTCAAGCTGACATGTAGAATTTGCCATCAGAGACAGCCACGCTGTAAGCCAAGCCAACAACCTGGTTCAGGGATCCCTTGGGTAGACCCCCCCATTAGGCTCCGCACGTCAGCCGGGCACTCCGCCTGGCTGGTGGCGGGTTCTTACCTGAAGGTCTTTGGCAAGTGAACAGGTGACTGTATTGATCCCAAGCTTTGTGGGCTTTGTGCTCTAAGTCAGGAGGTCTGCTCCCCGGGTCTTCCCCTGGCTGAGCTTCAAGTACTTTCCTCTGTTCTGGGTGTACGTACCTACATTCCTGGGTAGGCTCCTGCCTCCTGGCCTTACCACACTGCCTTCTCCCATTTCAGGGATGCGGGTGGCTTCTCAGGACCCCAAACTCCCTGGCAGTGCCCAGGGAGCATCCTTCCCCCAGCGCCCACACACAGGGTGCCTCAGGCGTGCCTTCAGCCTCCCTAACAGCAATGGTCAGACTGTCCCCACATACCCTTCACAACTGTGCTTTCTCCGTCCCCAGGCACAGCTAGTGGGACTTCCAGTCTGTTTAGGGTAACGAGTCTTAGTACAGGAGCCTTTGACCCATTCAGTCCCTTGACAGAGTTTGTAGGGTTTTTTTTTTTTTAACTTTATTTATTTTGAGAGACAGAGAAAGTGGGGGAAGGGCAGAGAGAGAGAGAGAGAGAGAGAGAGAGAGAGAGAGATGGAATCCGAAGCAGGCTCCAGGCTCTGAGCTGTCAGCACAGAGCCCGACACGGGGCTCAAACTCACAAACTGTGAGATCACCACCTGAGCCGAAGTCAGATGCCTAACCGACTGAGCCACCCAGGTGCCCCTGTAGCTTGCTTTCTTCTGAGCAGCAAGGAGTGAATAAACACCTAACAACCAGACTGTGTTCTTTTTCTTCATATATATTTATTCCAAAATACAGAAATAATTTTAAACACATTATTACAACTGAATTTGATTCATCATGGCTTTACTTAATGTTTTTACCTGCCCCAACTCAAAGAGGAGGCTTTTAAATTCAATAAATAGCATAAATAATATTTCATCTTCATACTGTGCCTTTCATCCTTTCTTTCTGTAAAATTTCCTGGAGACTCTTCAGGAACGTCAGCACGTTGCCTGTTGCAGTTTGGTTACACGGCTGTTCACAGGAAAAAAACTGTGGGGAGAAAAGTTAATGGAGTGACTAAAAGAGTGTGGACCAGGAACTACCCTGCCCGCAGCCCTGTGAGAGGCAGGGTAGGGGTGCAGTGGGCTGGGGTGTGCACACAGCAAGGGCTTGAGACATAGAGCAAATGCATGGGGAGGTCCAGAGCTAGCATGTCGTGTAGACCGTGTAGATGGCTGACTTTGTGCTACCATTTCAGGGGTGCCCCCCACCCGCACCTATCAAATAATCCTAAATCTCATTAGAGGGAACCTTTTCTCAGGAATCTTTGAATCCTAACGTTTTATTATCCTTTTTTGGTCGTCCTTCCAAGGTCCCCGAAGAGCTCTATGGCCGAGAATGGGAATTTGGCATCAGGTAGACCAGAGTTCCCATCTCAACTCTGCCAATGCTTAAGTATCTAGCCTTAGGCAAGTTAGTTAACCTCACGGAGCATCTGTTTCCTCCCAATGAGGTGAGGGTGGTAAATGATAATTGCAACAATTGTTACCGAAATGCTATTGTCATGAAACAGTATATATTAAGCATTTAGAACTACAAGCTGTTGACGGTAAGTAACTCAGCTGAGTAGCTGGGTGAAGGCTCTTAGCCTTCTGAGGACACACATGGATTTGCTAATTCCCAAAAAGTTCACGTCGTCCCTTCCCTCCAGGGACCAGGGCACATGCAGAAAAAGAGAACATACTGATGGGCACTTAAGGCAAATGGCAAGCCTCCATCTGGATTTGAGTGCTCCTTCCTTTAAATACCTTCTTAGCCAGTCGGAAAAAAAAAATCTTCTTTTTACAGGCCACAACACCCACTGGGTTAACAAATCGACAGCTCTGATTCTCTAGATCTCAGCTTCTTATTACAATCAGGACAGATTCTTTCATTATTCAATAGGTGGAAAGAAGTAAACGGTAACATGGGTGTGAGTGTTTTTTTAAACCAGGGGGGATTACAGGGCTATAGGGGCAGATCTCACTTTAATTTTGTCATTCTGAGTACATTTCTTACAGGTCTCGTATTGGCCTCGAACTACCAATTCCAACTTTATCGCCGTTTCTCATTTAGCTAGAGTCGTCATTGACCTTCACATAAAAAGAACTAACCAGAGCGGAAGACACGGAAAAACAAATTCACCTGGCACTTGCTGCTCTTTAGGTCTTTGACGGTTCTTTTTAGTCGGTTGAAGATCAGGGGGAAACTTGTTTGCACCGTGGAGTTGGTCATCTGGGACAGCCCTTCCTGGAAGCACCGTGTGGTGCAGTCGTCCTGGTAAATGAAAAGAATTTACTAAAAGAAACACCTTGAGGACCACTTTGAGAAGAACCACAAAGAGCTTGCTTTCAGACACTACCTTAATTTAACCAACGTAACCTAAACTGGTATTATTTTTAGACAGGTCCCTCTCCCCATGTAGGAAAGGACTTTCAGCATTTCAAGTCAAGGCCATTTTTCCACAGTGTCACTGCCTGGAGATTTCCAGTATGTTCCAGCAGAGGAACACAAAGCCGATGGACTCTGGAAAACGGCTCGTTCTAGTCTCCGATGCAACCGATGTTCCTGGGCTCCGTGTCTTGTAATAGTAGGTTCCCAAGGAGAAAGAAAGGAAAAGCTTTCTCACACCAGTCTGATGGCATGAGTCAGTTGAATACAGCCAGTGTTTCAGCAGTAGCTAAAATCACGGACCATAAACTGAAGGGCGGGACTGGGCTATAAATGCATGGTTCCTCCTCAGAAGGCCCCCTCCACTAGTCTCGTGTAACGGATGCAGCCTGATGGGGTGTAATATCTGACCCCAGCGAGGATGACAAGTTCAGATTCTCCCAGGCCTTGCTTGGGACGATAATAATACAGGAGGCACCTTCCTCCTCCCCTGAACCAGAAAATTCCTGCCTGGCTGACTCTTTGTGAAAGTGGGGAATCGCCTTCTGCAAGTGCTTTTTGTTTTCTCTCTACCTTAGACACCCTGTCCTCCCAGCATTCAAACCATGAGAGGGCCGCCCCAAATCAGCTAAAAAGACAGACAGGAAGGGAGGAGTGAGGGAGAAGGTATAGCATCCAGAGAGGTTTTGTAATAGGAAAGAAAAAAAGTTATTTTACCTCCTTGTTGTGCAACCCTTGAGTTTTAGGAAATAAATTAGTAAGCAGTACGATATAAGCTATATCGTTTGTTACATTCTCAGCTCCAGTTTGATTTAATTGTGCACATGGCCACTAATCTAAGAAGACATACAAGATTCTTCTTAAAGTATTGAATAGTGTTCAAACTTCCCAAAGGGCATAAAATCAGACCAAATACAATGTATACTAGGGATGTATCTAGTATAGAATTCAAGGGCCTGGTTTTAAAAGGAAATCCTGAACTGTAACAATTGCAATTAAGCAACATTTTCTTATTTCAAATATCAAATCGAGTAATTTATTTTTACTCGAAAACTTTTTAAAATTACACCGTCAAGATTATATTGTTTTACTATACTTACAGAAGGAATGGGCAGACACAAACAATCGGTCACCTGCAAAAGAATAATCCCAGGGTGAAGATTCCAGATGCAAACATTAAAATAAGTTTGGAAAGTTCTTAAAAGAGCATTTACTCACGTTGGTGCCACAGTCACATTTTGAAGGTGGATGTTCCTAAAGTAAATAGAAAAACAAGAACCCATAATGGGTGGTGTGCTTTTCATCCTTTTGTTTCACCTACATTTTTTTGTTTCTTTGTCTCTTCTTTTTTTAAGTGAGAGCGAGAGAGAGGCAGAGGGAGAGGGAGAGTCTTAAGCAGGCCCCACGCCCAGCACAGAGCCTGATGCAGGGCTCGATCCCATGATCATGACCTGAGCCAACATCATGAGTAGGACATACAACCGACTGAGCCACCCAGGGGCCCCTCACTTAAACTTTCAAGAGTTCCCTTTCCCACTGGCGCCCCCCTCTGCAGCTTACCTGCAGTTTGTTAATGAGGTACGTGACATCATGGATCCCTGACAAGGTCGAACACCTCTGGCTGGCCACAGAGCAGAGAAGCAGGGCAGAGGCAAGGACCACGGACAGGAGCATCTTGACTTGGAGCTGCAGGGTGGCTTGTAGTTGCCTTGAAATCGAGTCGTATTTAAAGCTCCCTCTTGCAAACCTGGAAAAACCCTGACATCAAACTGATACCAGGTGCCCACTTCTTCTATGTAAGTTTGGGCCACTTGACATTGAAAAATACATATATACATTGAACTGAGTCACTTGGCAAAGACTATGTTACACTGTGCTAGGAAATATCATTCCCCAGAAAAGATGCTTTTCAAAATTTGGGTACTGAGATGCTGTAGGAAAAGTTAAAGATCTAAAAACCATAATTTTTTTTTAAGGCAGATATTCTAGTTGTGAGAGTTAGAATACTTTCCATGAAAGCCCAGGTCTGTATTTTCCCCTTTTTACTTTATTGGAAATGCTGATATAATAGCCAGTCACAGGTATTATAATGAAGGGGCCAGGGAGGGGGCGGGAGGGTGAGAAATCATGCAGGAGAGCTGCTGTGTTGGGGTTTTTGCAAGCTCAAGCTCGATGAAGTCATTGCAACTTTAATCTTACTACATTTTATTCTCAAATCTTAACAGCGTTTTTCATGCCTGGGGCCAGATTCTCCGCCTAGCACAAGGCATTTTTGTGCCAGTATCTCTTTAAACAGGTGTCTGAAGGAGGGAACTCTTCAACTGTACCGGCAAGAATGTAGCCACAGTGTCTGTTAAGATTGGTCTTGAGGATTCCTTAGTGTCTTTAGGGAACTTATGTCACCCTGCGCAGCTGTCAAGTCAAAACTCGGTGCTTGAGATAGGATAACCGCTCACCTGTATTGAGCGCTTACGGCATACCAGCCACAGTTTTCAGCTCTTTACGGGAATTGCGTCATGTAGTACCTACAGCCACCAAATGAGGTAGGTACTAATTTGCCATTCCCATTTCTTCATATCTTAGATTAGAACACTGTCTGTATCTTAGCTTCCCAGCCCTTGGATGAAGCTGTTCTTAACCACTGTGAGCCAGAAAGATGTGTCACTGTAGCCCTACAAGTATTATGCTTATTCCCATTCTTTTGTAGATGGGGAAATTGAGGCACAGAGATGCAAGTAATTCACCCAAAGCCACACAGCTAGGAAGAAAAAACAAAACAAAACAAAACAAAACAAAACAAAACAAAACAAAACAAAACACTGTATTCAAATCCAGAACTCTGGCTCCCAGCTTCAGCTGCCCCCCTACTTCTCTGTTTTTTGCCTGCCTCTCCCCCTGGGATATATGCCCCGTATGGGTCTGGTTCACCCTTATATCCTCAGCCCTTGGAAAACTCCTTGAGGAGCAGTGAGCTATCACTAAATGCCTCTTGAATCAAAACGTGAATGTGAAAGGCAGTTTTTGAAGTAGTAAGACAGGTACTCAAAAACTATGATTGTGTAAGGTTACAAATCTAGTTTCTGGGCGTGTATGTGGAGGTGTGTGGGCTTAAGAAAATTTATCTTCTACACGCTAGAGGCTGAAAAAGTGGGGATTCTCTGGCTTAGCATTTTGAGCCATCCTAGCAAGTGGGACACACTCGTAAGATTTTCTCACCACTGCTGGAAGAGTATGTGGTAATATTGCTTTTCTCATTGCAAGCTGTTCCTTAGGAGTGGTATTGGACTATGGGGAAAGGGGGTGTCTTGGTAGCAAAGAAGGTAAAAAAAATGGCTTCTTGCTAACTTCCCCAGATCCTCCTGCAGCTTGGCCTCCATGCCTGCCCTGTGTATGCACCAAGGAGACGTTTCAAAGGCCTGCCAGCCTGTGCCGAATACTTTCGTGCCAGAGTCTGGTAGCGATGCCCTTTCCTTGCCAATAGAAGCTCGATTAGTTCAGGATGGCAATGTACCCAGCCAAGCACCCACTTTTTCAGTCACTCTGCTGCACTGCTGCAGGTGGCCATGTGACGTGTTCTGATGGTTGCAACGTCTGTAGAATTCATTTGCTTTTCCGGTAACAGGAGACAAAAGTAGCTGAAACCCGTCATTACCACCTTATTGCGATCTGAGCGTGAATGTGCTAGCAAGAGCTTCGGAAGCGATCTTCTAACCATGCAGGGATGGACCAGAGAACTGTAGCAATAACAACTCTAACGTTTTACATAAATGGGAAAAAGTCCTGGAAAACAAAAATAAAACCATGAAAATGACGATAGAAAATAACAGTAAGAATACCAAAGTGGTACTAAGTTCCAGCTAGATATCACTGCCTGCTGAAGACCGTGCATCTTGACGCTCAGGAAAAATGGAAATTAGCAGGTGCTAGAGTCATTGCAATCGGCATGATGCTGTCTTGTGTCTCTTCCTCCAAGCGAGACTGAGTTCCAGGAGAACTGATAGGATGTCAGACTCTGGTTCATTACTGTATTCCTAGGGCACAGTCCATACTCAGTGCTCAGGAATTGCTGGTTAAGTGAATGAATGACGAATAGCTGTCCTTTTCTTAAAATGTATTAAATGTATGTGATTTGTGAAACGACCAAGATGTGTTCCCAGTGGATCAGCAACAAAGAACAGACAGAGCCTTTACAAAACCTGAGCAAGGAAAGCATTTGAAGAGTAAGCAATGAACAAAATACACCCTCCTGCAATGCAGTCCCTTCAGAACTTTGAAGAGTTCGTCAAGCTCTTCTCCCTTTCAGTTCTCTTAGCAACTGCACGAAGAAGGCAGGTCAGGTGAAGGAACTCCGAGTCTGTACAGGATGAAACGGAGAGAGAGAGAGGTAGGTGACTGTTCTTTGCAATTCTTTTCTATCTTCCCAGCCACTTCAGTTATAAAAATGAAAAAAATTAAGAGTATTTAAATGGCAGCTGTGTATTTTAAAACACCGTTAAAACAGCAGATGTTTATCTAGGCAAAGTCTACAGCTTTTGAGGTTTAGCTTCTAGGATTTATTGCGATACCGGAATGTGAGTATGCAAATGATCTCCTGCAGAGGAAATACACCAAGCTCAGAAATGAACTACTCGCTTGTTTTAAATATCAAGAAGATTGGAGAGTGGGATGCTTACCAAGATGTAGCGTAGATAACATATTTTACAATAAATGACAAAAGACAATACTCCACCATTTATTTTGTTTCAAAGATAAAGTTTGACATTTTTATTTTGTGATTAAACACCCATGTGTCAGGGATTATTTCTCTAATAAAACAAAAATGGTTATTTGTTCTAGGAAGCCACAGCATGAAATGACACACACAAAAAGACACTAAATTTCTAAGTAAAACCCATTCTGTCTTTTCTTCTGAATAGCCAAGAGATAACGTTATGAGAATCCTTGAGCACTAATTTCTTAATCAAATAGTTCTTTCCAAGTCATTATTTCCCAACCAACTGTGAGGGGCAAGCCTCGCTGGGTGCACTGTTATCCCTACTGGGGTTTCTCCCCCCAGAAGGGGGATTTCTACGTGGGAGCTCTGCACCTCTCTTTTCGCAGCTCCTAAGCAAATTCCGGGGCCATGGACCTGGGGCCCTGTGCTTCCCGTTTAGCTTCCATGAAGTTTCCAGAGTTACAAGATGCAGGCTCCCCTCCTCTCAGCCCCCACCCCTTCCACACTGCTACTCCTCACCAAAGGTGACTAACGACCCAGGCTATCCTCGTAAAAGGAATTTTTACATTCTCCCACTGATATAGCCCTTTGTTGCCTGAAACCTGCCCCTGTGTTTCTTAAGAGTCTGTGGGACCCCACCCCCGCTTTGCTGTGGACAATTTACTGGTGTTCATCTACTAAAGAAAGGTATGAAAGGGGCGCCTGGGTGGCTCCGTCTGTTGCGCGTTCGACTGTCGCTCAGGTCACCATCTCATCATTGGTGAGTTCGAGCCCTGCGTCAGGCTCTGTGCTGACAGCTCAGAGCCTGGAGCCTGCTTCGGATTCTGTGTCTCCCTCTCTCTCTCAAAAATAAACATTAAAAAATAATAATAAAAAATTTAAAAAAAGGATGAGAACTCCTGTTTTGGGCCACACTGGGGAAGGCACTACCATTTGTTGAACCCTTACTATATGCAAGGTAATATATTAAACACCTCATATGTATTAACGCACTCAGCCCTCTCCAGTCTTTATTAGCCTCACTTTATAGATGTTGAAGCTCAGGAAACTGAAGCTCAGGAGGGCTAAGAGGGTTCCCTTAATCACACAGCTAACAATTTGAACTGGATTTATCTAATCCTGGAGCCTGTGCTCTCATGGCCTATGCCATATATCAATCTGTATTTCTGCTGACCCACCTATACGGCATTGTTCTGGGTACCTGTCGTAACTTAGAGGGAAACTTTCACAATGTCCAGAGCACTTGATGTCCTGCGAATGAAGGGGAGGATGTCCTCAAATTCCTTGCAGCAGGAACCCACTTAGGTGGCACCAAAGTTGACTTCCAAGTGGAACAGTGCATTTGCAATAGGAAAAGTTACAACATCTATGTCATGAATCTGAAGAGAACCTGGGAGGTTTCTACTAGCAGCTTGTGCCATTGGTGCCATTGACAACCCGGCTGATGTCAGAGTCCTGTCCTCCCAGAATACTGACCAGCAAGCTATCCTCAAGTTTGCTGCTGCCACTGGAGCCACTCCTGGTGCTGGTCACTTTGCCCCTGGAGCCTTCACCAACCAGATCCAGGAGCCATGGCTTCGGGCGTCTAGTGACCCCGGGGGTGACCTCAGCCTCACCCAGATCCAGGAGCCA